CAGAGAAAACCCTGCCTACACTGGGCTGGCCCTATGTTGTGGGTTTTGAAGCACCAAATGCCAATTACTAGATAGTGAAAGACATTTCCGTCCTAACGGACTCCTACTTACCTAACATGTCTGCAGCAGAGAAAGTATGCTACATACAGGTTATATAAGTGAGCCTGGTGAGGTCACCCATCCACAGAGGAGGAGTCTGACTTGAAAGGGCCTGTTATCTACCTGCTGCAGAGGCACCTGTGTGGAGACCTGCAAGGTGGGGAATCCTCTGTGTCCAAAGTCACCTGGCCTAGAAGTCACTGATGGCCAACTGTTCACTGTGCACTCATAGGGAACAACTCTGAGAGCTTCTGGGCTGGAGTTCACCCATAGAACTATCCAGAAAGGCTAAACGTGTCCATTGGAAGAGTTCTCAATAAGTCTATAGTTGTTTTTAGCCAAAATAAACAAATAAGTAAGTAAATAAATAAATAAATAAATAATCAGCCTCTGGCAAGCAGGCCAATGTAATGTAGATAATCTTTACATAGAGAGCACTCTTCCAGGGAATTTTAGGTTGTGCCAAGTTGATAATTAAACTGAAAAAATTAAAAAATATGCAGCAAAAGAGAGTAATGTATTTGACTTATGAGGAAAATGTGTCATGAGTGCCAAATCCCAAGACTGTCTAAAACTAGAACAATGTGTCCCTCTCTTCTTATATATTCATTGGTGAGAACCCATTAAATATTTAAATACTTGGTTTTTCAAATTCATGTCTATTTTCAAATCCATATATATTTTGTTTATTCGTAAGCACCACCACTTCAGAAGGTAATGCTCTATAAGTGAGAATTCAAGAATTGGAAAGAAGAAACTCATGGGATTAGATTAAAAGTCCATTACAAAGTTTGTGACTGCTTATCTAATCTCAGTTTGGGTGATGGCAATGTAAATTCTTAGAGTAGATTTCAAATAGACATGTATTAGCTTTTGGAATGAAGCTGTGTTGATCTCTGCTTCTCAGACTTTGGTGAGTCACCTAGATAAACTCTGCTAAGTCCTAAGTAGGGTTTTGTGTATTATGGAAAGCCTAGTAGGCTCCAAATAAGGTGTACATTTTGCCTTTACTTTTGAGTTTGTTCTTATCCAGAAAGAAATAAACAAACATGTATGGAAACTGGGTAATTCTACAAGATTCTTAGGATACTAAATCTGTGGAGTTCTATAAGGTTATAAAATATAATTCTTTGGTTATTAGCTATTCTTGTAAGACAAAGATGAATGAAGTGGTCATAATGATTCATAAATTAGTATAAAATTGAAACAAGATTTATAGGTAGTCTTTTAAAAGAAAGATTGTCTAGGTAAGAGAGAAATGGCCTAGAAGGCATGGAAGCTCATGCTGAGGAGACACAGAAGAACTCACTTCAGACGCTATCAGTGTAGTCTCGGTCAAACCATATTACACTGTTGCGTTTCTGCATACATTATTGGAATCAGGGCATGTTATTACCCACCCAGAGGCAGGAATGAAGCAGAATCCATGGAGAAACACACTGTGTACTCCTTGCTCCTCATGACGTGTTTGGCTTGCTTTCTTATACAACCCAGGACCATCTGCCAAGAGGTAGCACTGTTCAGAGTGGGCTGGGACCTCCTACACCAACCACCAATTAAGAAAATGTGGGAGCCTAGGCAGTTTGAATGCTCACCTTACGAGACCTGGATAGAGGTGGGCAGTCCTTGGGCTTCCCACAGGTCAGGGAACCCTGATTGCTCTTCGAGCAGATGAGGGGGGGGGACTTGATCGGGGGAGGGGGAGGGAAATGGGAAGCGGTTGTGGGGACGAGGCAGAAATCCTTAATAAATAAATAAATTAAAAAAAAAGAAAATGTACAACAGATATGCCCGCAGGGCAATCTTATTTTTATTTATTTATTTTTTTGAGGCAAGTTTTCCCTGTAGCTTTGGTGCTTTTCCTGGAACTAGCTCTTGTAGACCAGGCTGGCCTTTAACTCACAGAGATCTGCCTGCCTCTGCCTCCCTAGTGGTGGGATTAAAGGTTTGCACCACCACCGCCCGGCTCCACAGGCCAGTGTTATGGAGGCAGTTCAGCCAATTTAAGTTCCCTCTCCCCAGGTAATTCTAGTTTGTGTTGACAAAACAACCAACAAGCAAGGCTCAGAAGTCTTCTGAATTATATACTGTTCCATTCTACAATGGCTTTGACAGTTGATATAAACTCAGGGTCACAAATTGCTTCTCTGATTAGGAATCCCTTTCCTCTTCGTTTATTACCATATTCATATTGTTATATGTGCCTTTTGTGTTTCTGCTATAGTCATTACATAATAACCTCGTTTTGAAAATCTGAGCAAGTTTAATCAAAACTGGATTTTAATTTTTTCTTAAGTGTATATTTTTTTCATGTTATGATCTCAATGAGACACAAAAACAAAATAAGCCAATTCACAGCCTGAGAAGCCCAAGTGTAAAGTTATCATTTGCAAAGGTAGCCAGGGGGGCTGAGTTCCATTCAAACTCTGCATGAGTTTGCGATTGATCGACTTATTTACTTATCATTGATCATCTCTTTGTTTTTTTTTTTTTAGAAACTGGGGAGGAATATTCACCCTTGATGGTAATAGCCTTTATGTTTTTCACTTTGGATAATTTGCATCACACTCAATGAAATGTACAATTATTCTTCAATTGTTCCTTCAAACCCCTTTCAGGTTATCAATGAAATGAATGATTCTGTTCTAAACAAAACAGTAGAGATGAAGGAAGCATGGAGTATCCAAGAGGGTAAGTTTTGTGCTACCAGTCAGTTAGTCTGGAAAGATAAACTCTAAATATTGGAAATCTCCACAGACTTCTCACTCCTATCAAGATTAGATGGGATGGCAGGATTTGTGCTAAATAACACAGCGTCATTGTTGACATAGGTTCTACAGAAGACATTTCCAAGTTGAAGGGGCTGGTTTGGAGAAGCAACTTGAGTTCATTGTTTCTACTTTTATGTCTCAACATGGTCATGGGTTCCTTCAGTATCAGAAATTCTAGGCAAAAGACAAACCTAACAAAACCATCTTACACACAGCAGGCTGCTCATTTCATACCTCTTCTTACCCTGTCAATGATGAGTAACATCTAACTCTCCATAGAACGATGCTTGTAAATTTATTCACTTAATAGAATTTGTTCCTTACTGGGTACTGATAACTTTAGAACTCAAACTTGTCTGGAAACTTCCACTTAATTAAGATTTGCAGCATTACCGTCAACTAAATCATTCTCATCCACTTACTCAAGGCTCCCTCACATTTAGAGCGCTCCATGCCCACATCAAATGATAACACTGACTAGTTAAAAAAAATATCAGTGTACAAGCCTCTTATAATTATATATGTTTTCATAATATAACTTCCATCCATGTCTCTACATAGAGCCATTTTCTTGGTCTGCTCACTTAGAGAAGTGACTTTGATGTGTATAGTGATGATGATGTTATTATTCCTGTTGCCATATTGCTACACCAGCACATACCCTATTTGGTATTCCAGTATTTGCTGTTCCAGTATGCTGTGCTCTTGATGTTTTTTTTTGTCCCAGTAATCATTTTGTCCCAATAATAGTAATTATTGCTGTGTATACAAAAATAATACACAAGAGCACCTATGTAGTCCAGGGGCAAAATGAATAGATATATAAAGAAATAATTTACAATAGTAATGATAAAGATACAAAGGAAAATGAACATAAGCACTAAGGGAAGTGCTGTAGAAAGCAAAAGTAATCACTCAGGCAAAGAGAATCAAAATGAAGAAAGATGGCCCATGACACTGAGCGTTCACAGAAGAAAGTCAGCCTGTAGGAATAGTGACCGTAGCATTTCAGTCGGAGTTACATTAATGCTACCTTAGAGTAACTAAAAAATGATCTTGTCTATAACCAGTCAGTTTTACCAACATAAATATCAAGTTCTGCAGTTACACAGAATGGGTAGTCAAAGAGGAAAATGCCCAATAGACTATAAAATGTGTCTCAATTCAGAAAAGTATGCAGTTACTATAAATGATTTCATTTATTTTTTTTTCAGTGTGGTTTCAAAAGTGTGTTTGTTGGTGTTTAATGGCATGATTGTTACTGACCCTTTGAGATGTGTGTATGTTGTGTACATGACACACTTGATTATTAACTAATTCTTGTTTAAGAGTAAACTTATCTGAACATTCTAGTTAGAATATTAAAAGTCTAGTAGGTGTTGTTTCTAGCATTTAATTTTTATACATGCAATGATTATTATCATGTTATCTAAATGTTTTCATGGTTTATTTTAATCACATGCATAGACTTGTCAGAAGGACCAGCTATGAAGTTGACAGCAGAAGAAGAATCAGATAGTTATCACGGCTTTGAAAAGAATCCACCACCGGTATTTAAGTAATTAAATTTGAATTACAAACTGGTGTTTCTCATTGTAAAATAATGTAAAATGGATCAGAGAAAGTTACTTTTCAAACTGCCCTCAGAATCACTAGATCATGACTTAATGTATAATTTAACACCATTTGCTTAGTTATGGAATCCAGAATATTTTCAGAATCTCAAAGTAACAGATAACCCCGATCCTTGGATATATATGAAAAAAATTATTTTTTTATGTTGTTTTCCCTTTTTATGACCACTTACCTATTTAAAGAATAGATCAAATTTGAGACTTGTAACTAAGCCAGTATAGTTTGAATGATTTCAAAGGGATCAACCCACAATTTGATGTATTAGAAAGGGTTATTATTCTAAGAAACTAAAAATCTGAGGGTTCCAATGAGTAGTCAGTACTATCAATGTGTAAGTTTTGCTTACTCATTTCGGTCCTATTGTGGGTGATAACACAGGCATATACAATTAGTCCCACTGCCTGTACAGAGAAGGTACCTTCCATTAGGGCCAGTGGTGCTGTGCTCCAAACAGTAACCTTCAAGCTCATTATACTTCAAGAAAGGGAGGCAGGACGGCAGTGGTGCTGGGAGTCTCATGTTCGCAGTGCCGTTACTCGCAGTCGGGCGGCGGCTGAGGCTCAGCGCACAGCGCAGGTAGCGCCTTAGCAGCAGCAACAGCGGAGGCACCTCGGCGGTCACAGCCCCTGCGCTGGTGTAGCCACCCTCGCCTGCTCCGCTCTTCCTTCCTTCGCTCGCACCATGGCTGATCAGCTGACTGAAGAACAGATTGCTGAATTCAAGGAAGCTTTCTCCCTGTTTGACAAAGATGGTGATGGCACCATCACAACAAAGGAACTTGGGACTGTCATGAGGTCACTGGGTCAGAACCCAACAGAAGCTGAATTGCAGGACATGATCAACGAAGTGGATGCTGATGGGAATGGCACCATTGACTTCCCAGAGTTCTTGACCATGATGGCTAGAAAAATGAAAGATACAGATAGCGAAGAAGAAATCCGTGAGGCATTCCGAGTCTTTGACAAGGATGGAAATGGTTACATCAGCGCAGCAGAATTGCGCCATGTCATGACAAACTTAGGAGAGAAGCTAACGGATGAAGAAGTAGATGAGATGATCAGAGAAGCAGATATCGATGGAGATGGACAAGTCAACTATGAAGAATTCGTACAGATGATGACTGCAAAATGAAGACCCACTTTCAACTACTTTTCCCTCTAGAAGAATCAAATTGAAATCTTTTACTTACCTCTTACAAAAAAAAAAAAAGAAAAAAGTTCATTTATTCATTCTGTTTCTATCTAGCAAAACTGAATGTCAAACGTACCTTCTGTCCACACACAAAATCTGCATGTATTGGTTGGTGGTCCTGTCCCCTAAAGATCAAGCCCCCACATCAGTTTTACAGTGTAATACTCGTACTACCTTATAAGGAAGCACTTAGTGGACTCCTTAAAGTTCCATTTGCTAATGATTAATACACTGTTTGGGCTGGCCAGTTTCTCATGCATGCAGCTTGACGATTGAGCACAGTCAGGCCTTTGTATTAAAACTGAAAAATGGAAAAAACAAATTCAAAATCTCAGATGGGTTCTACAATTTGTTCAGATCAATTGTCAGTAGCCAGTTTGCTGCAAACAAACATTTAAAATTGGTTTACCTCAGGATGATGTACAGAAAATGGGTGAAGCTGAACTTTGAGACACAGCCCCAGAAGTAGGATGGCCCTCTTGTCCTTCAAGTGCTCCAACCACATGGTGACAATGACAGCTGGTGGCGTGCCTGAGTGATGGTTTAGTGCTGTGTGTGTTGTGTTAGAGTGAAGTAAACATCAAGGCTGTCACCAAATCACACAAATTTTTAATAAGAAATGTTTACCAAGGGAGCATCTTTGGACTCTCTGTTTTAAGACCTTGTGAACCATGACCCGGAGCCAGCAGAGTAGGCTGTGGCTGTGGACTTGAGCACAACCATCAACATTGCTGTTCAGGAAATTAGAATTTACGTCCATTCCAAGTTGTAAATGCTAGTCTTTTTTTTTTTTCCAATAAAAAGACCATTAACTTAAAAAAAAAAAAGGGAGGCAGAAACTACATTAAAATGTTACCCAGTGGCTTTACTGAATACTAGAGTGTATCAGGACTGAACTTAGTGCAGATTGTCTATGAGTTTCATGTCAATGTCTAGATGTCTAGTTTGGAGGAAACAATTGAAAAACCTAAGCTGTTTGAATTTGTTAATGTTTCAGGCCTCACAACAGTCATTTTGCTTGAATGACTTTGAATAATTTCAATTACTGAGTATCAGCTAAGAAGTAGGCAATGAGGCACTCAACATACAAAGTTATGACAAAGCAAAAAATAGAATCAGTAAACACTAATTTTTTTCATATAATGTCCATACTTGATGTCAAGATAGGAAAGATTGATGTATTCAGATGTGGTGGCACACTCTGGTAGGATGTCCTGAAGAGGCAGATGTGGGAAAAGCTATGCTTTATTTAAATTTATGGTTGGAATGATAGCATGAATAGAAATAAAAGCTCAGGGAAGACATTTATAAATACAGAAGGACATTTTGAAGAGGAGAACAAGAGTTGTCATAGACTTATTAGTTGAGTCTCTCTCTCTCTCTCTATATATATATGTATATACATATATGTAAATTATATATAAAAAGGTCTGGGCCCTTTCATATCAGTCATTATTCAAGAAAATGTCCACAGATATGCCTGCCCTAAGGCTGATCTGATGGTGGCAATTCTTCAACTGACCTTCCCTTTTCTCATATGACTCATTTATGTCAAATTGCAAATAAAACAAAAACAGAAAACAACACAAAAAGGTCTTTCCATCTTCTGGTGTCTTCTTCAGTATCTTAACATTTTCATTGTATGCTTGTACACTTCATTAGTTGAGATAATTTCAAGATTTTAAAAACGTTTTTTTCTTTTTTTCTTCCTTGGTATCATTGCCATTGGAAGTCTACTAATTTTTGCATGTTAATTTTGTTCCCTAATACTTTTGTCAATGTGTTTATCAGCTTTAGGAGATTTGTTTGATGACTTTTTATATAAAATTTTTTATATGAATTAATTGAAATATATATTTTTAATTGAAATAGAATTGCTTCACTTTCCCTCTTCCTTTTCCCAGCTACCCTCCCTCAAACCCTTTCCAAGACGCCCTATTCTCAATCTGATAAGCTCTTTTTATTTATTATCGTTACACCTGCAAGCATATAATATATGTGTACATATAAATTTATATAAATAAAACATCAGGCTAAGTCATTTTTGTTGTAAGACATTTTCAATAAATATTTATTTTAATCTAATTTTTTATTTTTAAATCAAAATTTAAAATTTGGACACACATATAATATGTTTGAGTCTGATCCACATTCCATTTCCTTTTCTCCAATTTCTTCCCCTCCTTACCCCTTAAAGTAAATTTAATTGATTTTAAAATAGAAAACTGAGATTTTGCAGGAAAGTTTTTAAAAAATGTTGTAACTGATTCCTGATGCTTATTTTAACGGACTATCTTTAATCAAATTCACACACAGGATGTTGGTTATTTATCAATGGCTAAAGATCAAAGAGGAGAAAAAATGGTGATGTGTCAGGAAAAAGGTGAGGAATCTGACAATAAAAAGTCCATAACAGAATATTTGTTTGAAGCACAAGGAGTTTCATATACCTCAAGCCAGAAAAGTTACCTCCTAAATATGTACTGAGTAACAGGATATTTTAAGTTTCAGTAGCACGCATGTCAAAGACAAGTTTGAAGACAGGCTAACTGAAGCCTATCACAAAGGTTACCTCTCTGGTGTGTAATGACCAAGGGAGATTAGGAAGCAAGTGGGGGTGGAGAAGAATGGGGATAGATTAAGAATGGTAGAAAAGATAGAGAGGAAATGAAGGGAATGAAGAAAGGGAGCATGCAGGGGAGGGCAGGAAATTCATATAAAAATCATGGGTGGGGGATTACTCATGTTAAAACACTACAAAGTGATCTGCTAATGAGGAATTGTGTGGAAGAGACTGAACACTGTGTTCTCAAAATCTTGTTTCCTCACTTTGGGGAAGGCATAAAGATGTGACATATTAGACCCTTCTTCAGTGTTCTATCTTGTATATAGTCAATATCTATTCTCAGCTGTATATATTACTTAATGTCAGTGGAAAAGTGTTCTTAAATCCTAGTATAATACCATATGAGCCTAAAATGACATCATAGAAAGGAATAACATGAAGCTTTAGTCATAGGTTGATTAAGAGTGCCATCAATAGACCCAAAGAGCATTCAAAACATAATGGCTTATTCAAATTGGGAGACATGGTGGGAAAATTGCACCAAATAGAAACTAGATTCTGTACAGTTAAATTATAGTAAAGGGGATTTTTGAAGAGACTCATTGACCAGAGTTTCTCAAAGTTTCATGATCCACGTTTTGAGGAAATTATTCAAAATAATTTTTGTTCAACTTTTCTGGAATTCTTCATTTCTTTTTTTTCTTTTTGGTTTTTTTTGAGGCAAGATTTCTCAGTAGCTATGGAGTCAGTCCTGGAACTCGCTTTGTAGATCAGGTTGGCCTTGAACTCACAGAGATCCACCTGCCTCTTCATCCTGAGTGCTGGAATTAAAGGCATGTGTCACCACCTTCCGGCTTTAATTCTTCATTTCTAAGAAGGTGTCTAGTGGTACAGTTGGTGTTCTAAAGACAATGAACAGCCAGTGTGTAGACTTCTCATTAAAGAAAATGAAAAAGATTCTTTGGTTGATAGTTCAAGACCACATCTAAGAAAACTTAAACATTATTATTATTATTTCTGAGAATATTTCTGCGGGGGGGGGTAGAATGAACATAGAAATGTCATTGAGAAAATGTGATTCAATGAGATTTTCTTTGATCACCAATCCTGCATCTATCACCATGTTTGATGATTTAATTTCTACAGTTGTTTCAACACCAAATGATAAGAAAGGGAACTTGTAAGATCAGTTTACTAAAACAATGCAAAAAGAAAGTAATGTGCTGAGAAGGTTACCCAGTGGAACTGAAGATAGGAAGTATCTTATACTTTATAATGCTGTGATAAACACCATGACCACAAGCCAATGGAAGAGGAAAGGGTTTATTTAAGTTATATATCTATCAAGGAATGCTGAGGTTGATCCCTGGAGGCAGGAACTTTCGTAGAAGCCAGGAAAGAATGCGGATGATTGACTTGTTCCTCCAGCCTTGCTCAGTTTGCTGAGCACCACCAGGGGTGGCTCTACTCACAATGGGGCTGGAATGTTCCACATCAATCATTGTCAAGAAACTGTCCATTTGGACTTGAGTTTTGTGCACGGTGAGAGATATGGGTCTATTTTCATTCTTCTACAGGTTGACATCCAGTTGTGCCAGCACCATTTGTTGAAGATGCTTTCTTTCTTCCATTGTATACTTTTAGCTCCTTTATCGAAAATGAGGTGTTCATAGGTTTGTGGGATAAAATCCGGGTCTTCTATACGATTCCATTGGTCGACTTCTCTGTTTTTATGCCAGTACCACACTGTTTTCATTACTGTAGCTCTGTAATAGAGTTTGAAGTCAGGGATGGTAATGCCTCCAGAAGATCCTTTATTGTATAGGATTGTTTTGGCTATCCTGGGTTTTTTGTTTTTCCATATAAAGTTGATTATTGTCTTCTCCAGATCTGTGAAGAATTTTGATGGGATCTTGATGGGGATTGCATTGAATCTATAAATTGCCTTAGGTAGAATTGCCATTTTTACTATGTTGATCCTCCCAATCCAAGAGCAAGGGAGGTCCATCCATTTTTTGGTATCCTCTTCAATTTCTTTCTTCAATGCCTTAAAGTTCTTGTCAAAGAGATCTTTCACTTCCTTGGTTAGATTTACCCTTAGATATTTTATGCTGTTTGTGGCTATCGTGAATGGTGAAGCTTCTCTGATTTCCCTCTCTGCTTCCATATCCTTTGTGTATAAGAGGGCGACTGATTTTTTGGAGTTGATCTTGTATCCTGCCACATTACTAAAGCTGTTTATCAGCTGTATAAGTTCTTTGGTGGAGTTTTGGGGGTCGCTTATGTACACTATCATATCATCTGCAAATAACGAAAGTTTAACTTCTTCCTTTCCAATTCGAATCCCCTTGATCCCATTATGTTGTCTTATTGCTATTGCTAGAACTTCAAGCACTATACTGAAGAGGTATGGCGAGAGTGGACAGCCTTGCCGTGTTCCTGAGTTAAGTGGGATGGCTTTGAGTTTCTCTCCGTTTAATTTGATGTTAGCTGTCGGCTTGCTGTATATAGCTTTTATTATATTTAGGTATGACCCTTGTATCCCTAATCTCTCCAAGACTTTTAACATAAATGGATGTTGAATTTTGTCAAATGCTTTTTCAGCATCTAATGAAATGATCATATGGTTTTTTTCTTTCAGTTTATTTATATGCTGGATTACATTGATAGATTTTCGTATGTTGAACCAGCCCTGCATCTGAGGAATGAAGCCTACTTGATCATAATGGATAATTTTTCGGATGTGTTCTTGGATTCGATTTGCCAGTATTTTGTTGAGGATTTTTGCGTCGATATTCATGAGTGAGATTGGCCTGTAGTTCTCTTTCCTGGTTGAGTCTTTGAGTGGTTTTGGTATCAGAGTAATTGTGGCTTCATAAAAGGAATTTGGTAATGACCCTTCTGTTTCTATATTGTGGAATACATTAAGGAGTATAGGTATTAGGTCTTCTTGGAAGTTCTGGTAGAATTCTGCATTGAAACCATCTGGTCCTGGGCTTTTTTTGGTAGGGAGGTTTTTGATAACAGCTTCTAATTCTTCGCGACTTACAGGTCTGTTTAGATTGTTCACCTGGTCCTGGTTTAGTTTTGGTAAATGGTATTTATCTAAAAAAGCGTCCATTTCTTTTACATTTTCCAGTTTTGTGGCATACAGGCTTTTGTAGTAAGATCTAATGACTCTCTGAATTTCCTCTGTGTCTGTGGTTATGTCCCCCTTTTCATTTCTG